TGTAATTCTAAAAAGCATTCTGTTCGAATCTGTACTCTTTGTGGCACATGTAGTGCTTCTGTATTCTTTTACTTAGATTTTGGTTTCTTGCTTCCCATCCAGGCTAACTCCACTTTTCTGCAAAATGAGAGAACCTGCCTAAGATTAAATTAAAATAAAATAAGCTTTAAAGAGATTGCAGCCCAAACTTCTAAATTACTCATTTGTCACAAGACAATAGTATTCATTTTAGCATGATGGTTAAGAGGACAGTGGCTGAGTTCTAAGGGCATGACATTTGGTGCCTGATAGACCTGGATTCCAGGTACGATTCTGACAGTAGCTATGTGATCTTGCACAAATTACTTAACCTCACTAAGGTCAGTTTTTCATCTATTCCTTCCTGGGCTGTAGTGAGGTTTAAATGACATCAGACATGTACACCACTTACACAGGGCCTGGAACACAATGAGGGAGCAATTAACATCAGTTATTATTATCTCAGCTAATGTGACCTCTAAATCAGATTCCTGGGAATGAAGGTGACAAACACTATGACATTTATTACACTTTAAAAGAGCCCCATATGCTAGTTCTCTAATTCCATTGTCCCTCCAACAAAAAGTCTTCATTTGGGTAGCAATTCACAGTTTAAGATTCACTTTCACAAATATTGCCTTTTTCCTATGACTTTTACTCTGTTTCTTTTTTTATATACTACATAGTATCCCAAACCACAATTTTTATACACAAAATGAAGACAAAAATAAAAGAAAGTGGAGCATTGACTATTAGACCATGAAACTTAAGCAAATATTCCTAAACATTTAATAATTAATTGGTTGGGTTTTTTTTAACTTAACAGGACTACTGTAAAGAATAGTTGTTTTTACTTTACAAGGATTTTATTCATAAGTATTAATTGAACATATATTACGCCAATGTGAAATTAATATGCAGGGCTAGAGACCTGTGAGATATATTATCTTCTATTCAGAGATAAACAAGTACTGCCCTGAGGGGCAGATGTCAGTTCAAGCAGGTAATGCTTGTCAACTGACCACTGGTAAGTGCTGCACTCTCTTTGTCACCTCTCTTCCCCTGGGTGACAGAGATGCAAAGGATTGCTCAAAGCCCATTTCTTCTGAGCAGTGAGAAACCCCAAAGGGGTTAATTTCCAGGAACCCTCAAGAGAGAGGCATTCCTCCTCAGGACTAACACCAGACTGGGGTTCTTTCTCAGTATTTATTCTTGAGGCCAGAAAGTTACAGAAAAGGAACATAGGTGGAGTTATGGCTAAGTATAGTTTAACAAT